TACGGGAAGTTGGAACTAAAAATGATACCAGTATACAAGAAGCAAGTACTACCACTACTACCAACACTACAGAACAAAAAACATTAATACAAGAAATAGAATCTTTACCTAAACAAGAAGTTGAAACGGGTTCCGCGTATAAAGTAACCAAAATTTTTTCTTTTTATTTTGAATATAAAATTATTTTCTATTTTGTTTATTTCATACGAAAATTATTTATTTATTTATTTATTTATTTTTTTTTTAAAAAAAAAACTATAAATTATTTTATTAAATTAATTATTTAGAGAAAAGCTGGTGAAGAGTCACCAGACGATGAAAAGATACCAAAGAAAGAAAAAAAGTCAAAGAAACCTAAAGTTAAAGAAATTGAATCTGAAATAGGATCACCTGAAAAAACTGTATCAATTAAAGTAATGATCTTTCTTTTTTTTTTTTTTTTTGTATTCATTGGACTACAATTCATAAATTATTTTATTTATTTATTTATTTATTATTTACTGATAAATTAAATGCAGAGAAAAAGATCGGGAGTAGTGGAAGACAATGATAATAAATTAAGTGCAGATAAAGATAAACCAGAAAGTTCAACAAAGAAAACCGAAAAATCCTCAAAGAAGTCAAAAAAAGAAAAGGCCGAATCTGTAAATATGAATATTGATGAAGATGAATCGATGCCAGAAAAAAAGAAAGTAAAAAAGGAAAAAGAAAAGGATAAGGAAAAGAAGGATAAGAAAGTAAAGGACAAAAAAGAAAAAGATAAGAAGGACAAGAAGGACAAGGATAAGGATAAGAAGGATAAAAAAGGCAAGGCAAAGGCCGAATAAGTATATTAAAATTAGAATTTAATTGTTTTTCTGTGGTATATATATATAAAATAAAAACTTGTTAGAGTAAATTATTTCCAAACTAAGATTTTTGTGTATGTATAATAAATGAATAAATTAAATTTTTTACACAAAATTTAGACACGTGGTTTAAACTTATTGGGTTTCCAAAATTATATACATGACACAGGAGCCGAGACCCTGGAATTAATATTGTGATGATGAATTTATATTGTCTATTTTGTTTGCTTTTACTTCTTAGTATTATTATTCTTGCTTGGGCCGACCACATTAATCGTCAACAATCATCGAACATCCATCAAAAAAAAATTTCTTTTTAGAAAATAATTTACACAAATTTATACAAAAAAGTTCATTAAGACAAAGAAGTAAAACCTTATTTTGATTTCTTGTTTTGCTTGTTTTTCTTGTTTATCTTGTTTATCTTGTTTAACGTGAATTTATAGTTTGAGACTATTCCCTTTATGGAATCAATGGGATCCATGGGAAGAGAGAATATTTGAATTTTATAGAATTCTATTAATTGTATTAGAGAATGGCTGAACACTGTATCACTCAACTTAGCAAAAATTTATTCTTGGGTTGATTTCTTGGAATGACGAGTTTTAGCATTGCATTGTACTTACCTCTCGCGTATCGTACCATTACATAAAAAATAATTTAGCAAAAACAATATTTATAATGACATTTTTAGAAAGAATGGACACGTTCTAAAAAGACAAACTATTATCTCGTTTTTTTTTTATAAATGGTGATGATTGAAAACGCGCACAATTAAAAAAAAAAATAATTAAATTTTGAATTTTGAATTTTCCTTATA